CAATGAAGCAATTAAATTCTAAAATCAATTTTAAATAAAAAAATTTTTTTAATAAATTAGAGATTATAATATTTTGAGAAAAGAGAAGAGAAAGAAAAGAAAAAGAAGAAAGTTAATAATAGTTATACGATATAATTGATTCAAAAAGTGAAAAGGATGAAATTATTCAAAGTTTGAATATTAATTTACTATAATAATCGTTAATGTTTATTGTTGCTGTTATTATCGTTATTGTTATAGAATTCTTTATTGTTGCTGTTATTGTTGTTATTGCTATAGAATGCTTCTTGCTCAACAATTTATTTAAGCATTATTCTGTAATATATTTAATATCAATTGAATAATTCGAGTGTAATCAACGAACGGAATATTTTCTATGTAAATATAATTATAATGCTTATCGCTTGTCAACTAAATTTACCTAAAAATTAGATTTGATGGGATGAAATTAAAGGTGGAAAAAGTAAGAAAGTTAAAAGGAAAATAACAAAGATTAATTGTCGCTCCTTTTACGCTGCATTTTTTTGTCGCATAATTCAAGTTGAAATGGATTGCAATGAATGTTTAGACCAATTTTTAATTTATTCAAAAATAAAATATCATATCATTACTACTATTACTATTACTACTACTACTGCTATTGCTACCATTACTACTACTATTATTACTACTACTATCGCTACTACGATAATTGCTACTCCTGTTAACAGTAAAATAATAACAATAATAACAATAATAGCAATAATAAATAATAACAATAATGGCAATAAATAATAGCATTACCAATAATAATGATAGTGTTATTCTATTATTCTTTTCCGCAAATTATATCAAAAATTATTAAATTTAATTAATTAATTAATTTTTGAAATTATTATAAAATTCAACATTGTTATTCATGCAATCATTCATATTATTTCTCATATTATTTATGCATTTTTCTCAATGAATTACATGTTTATATTTAATTCTTGTAATTAATTAATAAATTACTAATTAATTAGTCATATTTAATAATTCGTTTATACATTTCTTTAATAATACATCAAATAATTGATATTTATATTAATGCAAAAATTATTTTTTACATTTCGATATTTGTGCTAAATTTTTAGCGCCTATCCTATTATCATCATATTGTAATAATATTTGTAAATATAAATTTCAAACATTTTTCTTTTTGTTTTCTACAATTATTATATTTTCATTAATTCAAATTAAATTTAGTATTTGCTTCTGAAAAAGAGAAAAAGAGAATTAGTAATTTTTTAAAAAAGTAAACAATGAAAATGAAAAAGTAATAAATCTAAAAATCTAAACCTAACTATAATACTTCCTTTTATTATACCTTCTTCTTCTTCTTCTTCTACAACAACAACAATAAAAACAGGTATGTGAAAAATTAATTTAGACATAATATTTATTTATAATGGCTTTCAAAAAAAAAAAAAAGTGCATTTTTAATTTTATGCATAAACTATCATTTTTAGGTAAATGGCTATTTTCAGGTTATATAATTTATAATGGTTTCTTCTTTCATCAACGGAAAAACTGATGTGAAGAGACTTAAAAACTTGCTCCATTTTGATGGCTCATTTTCTCATTTTACCTTGAAACTATTTTAAGGATAGGTTTTTGTTGTGTGCGTTTGTGCAGTGAGTTCTGGTCATTTGATTTTTGTATTTGTTTGGAAATATTCAATAATAAAAGGAAAAGTTAAAATTCACTTTGGCTTTCATTTCGTTTCATTTTCAATTCGGAACATTTTCCTCCCTCATATCTTTCGTTGATTTTCAGTTTAACACTCAAAAATGTATTTTATAATTTTTGTGAAGCAAATTTAATTCATCCATTGCTTTTTGTATTATTCGTTTGTATTGTTAACGGGAATTTATCATTTAAAGTTTCAAGGTTGTTTGCACATTTAATTTATTCTAATTTTAAAATTCATTTTTTTTTCTTCCTCTTTACTTCTTCACATTTTTCCGATCCGAATTTTATCGTTCAGAATTTTTGGGATGAAATGGATGAAAATGAGAAATTATTTATTGTAGGATTTGTATTTAAACGGAATTCATTTTTGTTACAAAAAATATTCCTGAAATAGCAAATGATTATCTTTTGTTTTCTTTCAAATTTTAAATTTTAATTTTCAAAATTTGAAGCGAATAATTGTTTATTTGATATTTGAAATTCGTTATGATTAGCTTTGTTTAGATTTAATTTTCAGCTAATGAGCAACACGCGATATATTACAGCTTTGCTATTTATGCTTTCACAGGTAAGAAAAGCTTTTTGTGCTTTCATAAATATGAAAAATTAATATTTATTGTAATTTATTAAGAAATAATGATTAAATAATCGCTTTCATAAATATGAAAAATTAATATTTATTGTAATTTATTAAGAAATAATGATTAAATAATCGCTTTCATAAATATGAATAATTAATATTTATTGTAATTTATTAAGAAATAATGATTAAATAATCGTAATATGATACAAATAAAAAAAATCATCGAAATTCTATATTTCATATTAATTTAAGATTTTTTTTAATATTATCTGTCGCATTTTGCTATCATTGCAAAAATTTAAATATTTATCATTGAATGATTATTTCACAAGATATTTTACTGATTATTTAAAAAGCTGTCACATACAAGTGAAGAATGGATGACCTTTCTTCTAACTATTCGTAAGGTATGAAACTATTTAATATTTTGTAGAAAAAAATGAAAAATGAAAAAAGTTATATAATACAATTTTGTTGAATGACCGAAACCTGTCTTCTGAATTAGTTTTCTCTTTCTTTTTCAGGTTAAGACCGGTCTAATCGATTAGAATTTGTTACTTCGGAATATTTCATCCTAAAAAATAAGTGCTAATAAATGAAAGGAATAAATTCAATCGAACTAAATTGAATAGCCTATTACGCCATATACAACATATATCTTTCTACCTTTCAACATCAATCACAACATTTTTTTGCTTTTTCATTACAACAAAAATTTCCGTTCAACTTTCATTAATAATTTGGATGAAAATTCAAAACAAATACTGTATTAAATTAATAAGATCAATTTTGCTTTACTATAAGATTTCTCTTAACCTATTGACCTCTCCTTTTATGGTATCCATTCAGTTGGCAAAAAAAGTTCAAATCTTTTTTTTTGGAAATGACCTCAGATAAGAGAGAGAGAGAGAGAGAGAGAGAGAGAGTGGGAGAGAGATTTTGTTATGATTACTTTCACTTTCTCTCTTTACAAAAAAAATAACTTAATTATAATTTGATCTTTTTTTTAAGAAATCAAGATGTCAGGTAATGAATGATATAAAATTTCACAGAAATGCAATATCTATTTGAATGCTAATATTGCAAAACAAAAGAAAAAGGAAATTATCAGTGAAATTATCAGTGTACTGATAAAATGATTAGTAAAAAATGATTTTAAAAGATAACAAAAAAAATTATGAAAAATAGAAAAATAAATTTTTAACATTTTTTTATTAATCGTAGCAATGTGATGAATTATAAATTAAACTGATTATTATCACATTTATTAATAAAACAAATAATACTTTTTTTGTTTTCAAACATTTATTCTTCCAATTTTTAATCTTATTTGATTGTTTTAAAATGATCGAATTCTCACTCGTGATAGCTTATTATCATTGTTAATAAGTGATGAAATTAATTAGAAATTGAATTAAAATTTTAAATAATTAAAAATTGTATATACAAATAAATGGGTTAATGATTTTCCAAAATTTTCATTTGTTTTTTTTCTTATTGTTTTCTCATTATTTCAAATTTCTTTGTTGTAATTAGAAATTGCTTTTGTTTTTTTCATTATAATTTCAATTTAATTTTGCTTTCATTTATTGTTACATTTTAAAACATATCTAAAAAGTGATGTGAACAGTTTTAAACTCAACCAATTTCATCATGAAATCGTATCGCTGAAAAAATACTAAATAGTAAAGTCAAAAATATACGGTAATGATATATGGCTATCAGATAATCCATTCTAAATGATTTTTAATTATCGAAAGTTAATTAGATATAGCTATCATAGTTCTGATAGGAACTGTTCGCTTGCACTATCGATTATATTCCATTGTTTTGCTCAGTTACTAATGTTATTAGGAATAACACGTACGTAATAAATAAATGCCACCACGTAAGTCTTTTTTCTAATAGTAAATAAGTAAAGAAATATTTTAAATAGACGTATATTCACACGTATATCAATGGATGAAACTATATGATAAAAAATATCGCAAATTTAAAGTGTCAATAATACAAATTTGAAAATATAAAATTTTGCATTTGATAAGTTAGGAAAAGATTGCTAAAAGAATCAAAGAAATATTTCATTATGCTTATCGTTGTATTAATTAGCGGAAGAAAATTTATATTAATTATGTTATCATTTTATCAGAAATAGATATAAAACAATTTGATCATTCCTTAATAAGAATTATGAATCAAAAATGATGTAAAAAAACAGTGATGGCAAATTATTTATCAGTATTGATATTGAAAGAATAATTCTGAAGCTTTTATCTTTTGAACTTATAATCAAATATTCAATTATCAATTTATAATCAAAATTAACAAATACAATAATTTCATGTTTTCTCATTTTTCATTTGTTATCTTCCCTTATCAGTCAGCAACTTTGCTATAAGTAATAACAACGATTGAAAAAATTCCCTAAAATTCCTACGTTATTCCAATTTTACATTTATATTATAATTTCAACAATAATATATTTAATGTAAAACAAATTGATTTCCGATTTCTTTTGTAAAAGCGAAATTTGATTTATTGAAAAAAATAATAAATTAAATATTTTCTGCTAATAATATAATGAATTATTTTAAATAAATTCATGCAAAAAATGCATAACATAATTTATTTTTATTAATTATTTACAGCTAATTAAAATATAAAATTCAAATTTTGTAAAATCGAAACACAAAAGATAATTTTGATGTTGAAAATATTTCAGGTTCTACAGAAAATTACCTGTATTCCGATAAATAATTCGATTGGAGGTATTTTTAAAGATTTTCAAACTTAAAAATATTTCTAAAAGTAAAGTTTTAAAGTCTTTTTTTTGCTTCATATAGGATTGATTAATTTGCATAAAGAAAACAATAAATGAAAATTAAAATTATACAGAAAAGCCAAGTATACAATGTGATCCGGATAGTATATCAATCATTTTTTCAACATTGAAGCCTTTTTTCGGTCGAACATTTGTTAAAGGTTATATTCAAGACAACAATTGCATTCAGGTAATTAATTCAATTTATTTATGATTAATTAAATTAAAAGATAATTAACAATGTTTACTTAACTCGAATGCAACATTATTAAATAATGTTGAGATTAGCAAAAATTATCATTTCATAATCATTTTCAAAATGAAAACTTTTCTTTTTGATTTTCAAAATTTTTCAGCAATTTTAATTAATAAATGTTAAAATCTAAAATGAGTTTAATTTTTCTAGAAAAAAATTAAAATTTAAAATTATATGTAAGATTGAAAAATTTTGTGATAATATTTTTTTGTGATAACACTTGTGATAATTTTGTGATAATATTTATAAATTTCGTAGTATAAAAGAAATGATTTTTTTACTTCTTTAATTTATTTTTAAGATTGGAAATCGTCATGAAAAACATAAATTTACAATAAAATTCAATCAATGCGGGTTACGTCGTTCACGAGAGGTCAGAATTGAATGTTTTTTTTTAAAACGATATTCACGTAGATAAGATAGGCTAGCAGATATAAGATAGGCTAGCAGATATTGGATAAGATATGCTAGCAGATGTTAGATAAGATATGCTAGCATATATTAGATAAGATAGGCTAGCAGATATTAGAATTAAACGATCACAAAATAATTATATTATAATTCATTTCAGTACAATGGTATTCGAATTACAACAACGGTCATTATATCCTTTCATCCGGTATCTTCATTTTAAAAACATTTACAAATTAGTTTTTATAATTTTCTTTTTTGCACAATATTTTTTGTGTACATAATTAGTTGCAAATATTTCACATATCTATTTTGTGAATACTTTTTATTAATTAATTTAAAGTTTAGATTTTCTTGACCAAAGTAGATCGAGCATATCGACTCAATTGCTTTTACGTGGAATCATCAAAGACAATTACTCAACAATTAGAAATTAGGTATTCAATTATTCTATTATTAAGATAATACCTATAATTAGCATATTATTAATTACGATTTGCATGAAATCTAATTCAAATTAATTTGAATTTCATAAGTTTACAACTCTTTGATATTTTGATCAATTAGCTAAATTACATATGTATCAAAAAAAAAAAGTTGCAAAAAGAAAATTTCCACTTACAGCATGTTGACAACAGAAGAGCTATATCATCAGACGCAAATGCCAATCTGCAGGTATCATAGTTTATCAATAATTAATTTAAAAATTTATTCATTAAAAATTAATTACGATTCAAAGTACTCAAAAAATTTATTCATCATTTTGTTTATTAAATTTAATCTAAATCAAAACTTTTGAATTCTATTTATCAATCATGAATAATTTGAATTCAATAAAAACAATTTTCAGGTATGAAATTCTTGGTGGTGGTGCTACAGGTGTACAGATACGATATGCAAAAGTTGGTGATAGTGTATATCATCGATGGACATGTGTAGCTGAGACTAAAGGTCTTTATTGTATGAGAGTGCATACATGTACTGTAAGTGATGGACAAGGTGGTGAAGCGGTAGCTGTCCTTGATAAAAAAGGGTTAGCATATATATAAAATTCTAAACAATTTTGGTAATCATAATTTTAGTTGAAAAATTAAGAACTTCAAGAAAAAAAAATATCGGAAAGATAAAGTAAAAATATATTTGTAAAAAAAGAGAAAATTGAAATTTCTAATTTTTAATTATAATATTTTATGTTATATTTGTTTCCGATAAAATAAAAATAGAAAATTTTGTAGTTTATTGAAATTTTTATGAAAAGATTCTTTTTGTTATTTATTTATAAAAGGATTTCGTTAGAAAGGTAATTCGTATTTTTTGTTGTCAATGAAATTGAAATCGAAACACACACACACATGCACACATACATACATACATACACACATACACACATATATGTACACACATACACAATACATGCATACATACATGCATAAATACATGCGCACATACACATATGCATACATACATACACATACATACATACATACATACATACACACATGCATATATATACACATACACACACATACATACATACACACATATACACACATACACAATACATGCATACATACATGCATAAATACATGCGCACATACACATATGCACACATACATACACATAATACACGCACACATACATACATACACACATACATCCATACATGCATAATATATACATAGACACATACAGAGAGATACAAACACGGAAAGCCTATCATTTCTTTGAAACATATAAGAAAGGGGAAAAAAATATATAAAATTTCCTTTTCCTCTATCCTCTATTTCTCATAAATTCAAAATTACATCTTATCCCGACTTTCCCGTCTCCCGCGTACCCCGCTTTTATTGTATTGGTAATTGAATACATTGAAATGTCATTAGGTAAATAATGATTGGTTATAATAGCATTATTTTTACAATAATTTGTCTAACAAACACTGTTGTTGACAGCTTGAATGAGAGAGAGAGATCCTGTAATTAAAGAGCTCTAAGATTATTGGAAAAGAAATTTTAAATGAAATGAAAATAAATTAATTAATATAATTTCTAGCTAATTAAAAAGCAGGAAAAAAAAAGGTAAGAAGAATTAATATCAAAAGATATAATTAATCTAATTAGCGTTTGTAACGTGAAAATATATGAAAAGTGGGATGGAATAAGTATTCTGAATTTTTTGAATTCTTGCATTTCCAGATGTTCAGTTGATAAGTATTTACTGCTAGATTTGGAATATATCGATGATCTAACAGCTGGACAAGAATCACATGTTTTCAAATTTGCTGATCGTCCAGCACTTTATTTTAACTGTCAATTAGAATTGACAATTAAAGATCGCTATCGTGGATGTGCAAATGAGGTTTGATTGAATATTTAATATTTATTAATTAACCTTTAACTCTCTATCGTTTTATTCATTAATATAATTGAGAAAACTCTACATATGCTAACATTTTTTAGCGACCAGTTTGCAAAGGTCAAATTCGAGTGGAACCATCGGAACAAACTTACGAACAACAAATTGGTGCTGCAGAGGAAGAGTAAGTTACAGTATTTGTTGTATTATAATTTTTAATATGTTGAAAAAGTTGTGAAAGTCTTTTTCTAAAAATTTATTTCAGAACACAAACATCCGTCTATGAAGGCAATGGCAAACAGCAAAGTTATTCAAGTAATAATTTACAATTAATTTCATTTAATAGAAAGTAAATTTGAAAGGAGAAATGTAAGTTTAAATTTAAAGTTTTATTATTTCAATTCTTTCAGATCCAACTGATATGGATTACAAAAGCAATGAGTCACCGTATCAGAGTAATGAAGTGATTTATACCTCACAACCTGGTCCACCAGCTCCTCCAACTCAATCATCTGATTTATCACATTTTCAATTTTCTCCAAAATCAGCCTACTTTACTGATAATAATTATGAAGTAAGATTGAAAGAAAAAATTGTCGTAAATAAAAATTAATTAATAATTTCAAATTAATTCAATTCTATTCAAATTAATACATTTGTATTTGATTTAATTTTGCTAAAATTATTTTCAACTTAATTACATTTTTTTAATTTTACAAATATTGAAAATCAATTTGTGATTTTATAAATATCTCTACCATATAAGGATATCACTACTGCACCACATGCAGAAGAATACGGTCAATCGATTGCACAAGAAACGACATCGTTGTATGAGGAAGGAATTGCTTATAGGCGATTGATCAGAAGGAAACGAAATTCAAGTATTCAAATTTTGTATAGTAAGAAATGAGGCATGCGATATTTTTTCTAAACATTCTTAATTAAAATAATTCTAAATTCATAATCTTCTTAATATTATAACTTAGAAAGACAAAAACAACTAGCAGTAGACAATATCATTAAACTTTAAAAATGGAAATATTAATAATTTCTTATTTTCCAATTCATTTATATTAGTATTTCGAAAGTATCAAATTGCCAATATTACAATCAAAGTTTATCAGTATAAATTGCAATTCATTTATAATATTAGATTAATTTAATGATAGTTATCATTGATGGAAAGATTAATTCACTGATAACTAATTTACGAAAATTTATAGCTAATCAACATTTTTCATCCACTTCTACAAGTTTATTGCGGCCAACGTTACGTGTTGCTAATGTTGACCTTCCGGAGCAATGCATAATAGTATTTGACCTCGAAGATGAAAGTAAACCTTTTTTTTTTTCAATGAACTATTTCTTTTTTTGGAAAATTGGGATGACTAATTTTATGAAATTCAATCTTCCGTTTTCTTTTTTCATATTCTCCAATCATTTTAGATAATGAAGAGAAGCAATCAGAAAATTCGGATCGATTATTTGATCCATTGAAAACTTCTAGAACATGTTTCTCAACAAGTAAGCAATTAATTTTTTCCCTCATTCATTTTCATTAAGAAATTTGGTAGGCTAAAAATTTAAATTAAATAATGAATATGCAAAACTGCCTAGAATTGAAAGAGAAAACTATTAGCCATACTTATTCATTAGAACAATAGCTCATTTCCAGGAATGTATTCAGGAAGTTTCATTCCATTAGCTATAGCAGAAATTTCATTCAATTTATAATGCATCAAATGATAGCTAATATTTAGCAAATTAATAAATTAAAATTAGACAAATTTTTTTTTGCTTATTTTTATTTCAAATTTAAATTTTAGATAATTTAACAAATTCCAGCTCGATTAACAATGTTATCAGCTATCGCTATGATAACGTTTGTTATCTTTATCTTAGCATTCTCTATTGTATTACGAAGAGGAAGGATATATATCGATAATGATTTAATCAAATAATAATTTTAGTTATTGATAAAATTTAATGGCCACTATCATTTATTTCTCATTTTTCTTTGTTATTTATCAATTTTTTTGTTTCAATTTTTTTTTTGAAATAATTATATTTGCATATTTTATTTAAAATCTAAAATAATTACAGAGAATGCATATTTTATCCAAAAATTAGAAATATTCATAAAAATAATTTAATATGCAAAAAAGGTTGTCAGAAATTATTCTTAAAGTTTTTTTAGGTGTAATAATTAAATTTGATGTTTTTCTTTTGTTTTTGCTTTAATTTCATAAAATGGAAAAATGAAAGGAATTGAAGGAAATTTCGAAATTATCGAAATATTCTTCAAATTTACTCAAACAATGAAAATCTCATGCATTTGCAAATTTAGTATGATTGAAAAGTTATTTTGAGATCAATAATACCCATCCTTAATTTAATATATCAAAGCTGATAATAATATGCGTATTTAGACAATTGCGCTGGACTATTGCACATTTTGCCGAAGATATATAAATGTATATATGTGTGCCTTAAAGAAAATTAAAAAACCATTGTTTAATTATAGGCCTCTGCTATTCGTGTTAATTTTGAAATTGTTTGAAATTTTAAAATTTTAAATGATTTTGGATAGTTTTTGAAATGTCTGAAAGCATAAAATGAATTTGTTATTGCATACCTGAAATTGAAGAAGAAAATTAATGCAAATTTTGTAATGCTTCAATTGTTTTCTTATATTAAAATTAACTTTTATGAAATATATTATTATAGGAAGCTTCCATGTTTTGTTTATCATCTGCTTATGAACAATTAATTCTTTTATAAATTAATTTGAAAATAAAAATTTATGAATCTGCAATTGTAATTTAATAAGATGATGAGGAACATTGATCAAATGATATCTGGGGTTTCTGATAATCAGTTTTATCAGAATAGTAATCATCGTCATCATCATCATCATCATCATCATCATCATCATCATCATCATCATCATCATCATCATCATCATCATCATCATCAGCAGACATCGATTCCTTCTCCACATAATACTCGGCTTTCGGAACAGCCAAATGTGAAACACTTCTGCTAATCATTGATGAAGATTTTCTAATTCCAAAACTTCTGCTAACCATTGATGGAGATTTCTTAACAAAAAAAATTATCATTAATCTGTATCGAGAAATTCTGATCGCTACAAAAATCACACCAAAGCTTATGTTCGAATTTTTTTTTTTGGATTAAATTACTAGGCTTATTTTGATGAATTAAAGATTTTTACTTGACGGCCAAGATGTTGTTTATTGATATCATATTGTTTGGCAATGCAAACATAAAAAGGTCGATAAAGAACGACATTATCATCAACTGATTGTTCTGAATATTATTAATTTATTTTAAGAGCAACATCATCGTAATTATCATTTCTAACTTTTGAGATATCAATTGAAATTTCGAAATAAAATTTAAACTTAATAATTATCCAATTTTAATAAATTCTAATGATGATATAAACCAAAAAAAAAAATGAATTCAAAATAAATTACTAATCAAACCTAAATTTTCTTCATCATCTTTATGATTAATACGAAATTTGGTCGAAATATAACGACCACCTTCTACATATGGACAACATATATCTAAATAATTGAAATTATTCCGCTTTGTTTTTTCCTTCTATAAAACATAAAATTTTATTATTGCTATTAATAATCCTAGAATTCCTTGCCAATTAATAATTTGCAAAATAACTGAATTGTAAAATTCCAATGTTATTATGTTTAACAAAATAACTTCGCAAATGTATTTGGCAGATTTAAATTACCAATTGTTAAACTATCATTTCATCAATAATTTGCATTTTCAATATTTTGAATTAAATTTCAATTGAAAATTGTTTGTATTGGTAGAGATACAAATAGCTAAATTATTTTTTTAGATTAAATTACGACTAAATCCTTAATTAAAATTCTTAGATTTAAAAAAATTGTTTTTCAGATTAAATTGTCTTTTATTAATTTTTCAATATCATAAATTAAAATCATTTATAATTTTATAGACGTTTGTCTCTAAATTTTCTGAAAATGAGATAAGCTAAGATTAAACTAATTAAGATTGTTAAATGATTGAATCATCCGACCGAGCTATTATAGCTATGTATCAGATCGACTTTGTAAATAAGTAAATAATTATTAAGGATGATAGATAATGAGTGGTTCATATTTTGCATTTTTTCCATTTTATTATTTTCAATCTTTCTGATAGAAAAATTTGCCGAAATCAAAAATTAGGATAATTTTTTAATATTTCAAATTAAATCATCTATGATTTTCGATTGTTTAGCAAAATTATTAAGTAATTATTGGCAAAGGCTTTTTGTGCTTTTAACTTTAAGAAATATTAAAAGTAAAGTTTAAATGTTATTAGAATGTGATTGATCAAAAATCATAGATGATATACATACAAGTTAGTTCATTGATAAAAGGTTTCCTTTTATTGAGGAATTTAGTAGTAACAGAAAGGATATGATATGATATGATGACAAAAAGGATATAATACATAGGTTCGCTTTTATTGAGGAATTTCATTGACAGAAAGGATATGATATGATATGATACACAGATTATCACTAAATATTTTGTGAAATTTTTTATTCGTAAATTTTTTGCTAATTTTACATTTTAATATTAAGTTTTAATTTCCAACGGATAATTTTTTATTAATTCATTTTCGCCATTTTAATTGCTAGAAAAATTGCATACCGTAATCAAGCATAGGTTTTGGTAATGTTGCTTTCACGAATGGTAATGTAGCAATTGTAAGTGGAAATTCCATCTGTAATGATTGATTGCCTTTTTCATCTTCTAAGCAAGCCTAAATTTAAATTTCAAGTTATCGTGTCAAAGTTTAATAATCGTTTTTTAATAATCGATTTTTAATTCTATTAGACGTTATCATGATTGTATACTACTACTTCTTATCTCTTAACTTCTTTTGATGGCAAATTATTTTTCAAATAAAAGTGACAAATTGTTTTCACTGATTGATCAAATTTAATGGAGGGAACCAATGCCACGAGCCGGGATCGAACCGGCGACCTTTAGATCTTCAGTCTAACGCTCTCCCGACTGAGCTATCATGGCTGCCCAAACTGTCGCCAGCCGAATTCATTTTTCACGACATTTAAAATGGTTTTTACACTTAGTTAATTTCAAAAAAATATTAATTGTTTAAGGATTGAGTATTTTAAAAGCGGCAATTAAATTAAAATGTGTAAATTTGTTACTTGGAATACGTAGAAGATCTGTAGCAATCTACAAACACCGATCAATGTTGGAGGTACGACTGGTAAGACGAACGATTGCAGTTGAGCTGTATCAAATTTACCTTGCGTATGCGGTTGAACGGGCAATGTCCTTGATGATATTAATATTGCATTAACACATTAATCAATATTACTATACTTCAACACATTTACACTTTCAATCAATATTGCTATTCTTCAACACATTTACACTTTCAATCAATATTGCCATTCTTGAACATAATAAAAAGAGCTAGCGTTAACCATCAACTTTCCTATATCTATCAAAGTTATCAGAAAGAAGAATATTACAATGTTTTGTGCAAATTTCAATTATCACTTAAAAACTTACTTACATTCCAAAACTACGCATTCAATCCGTTTGTTTTCGCCAGCATTCCTTTCCACAAAATATTCCACATGCTGAAAAATTAACATTTAAATTATTAAAAGTTAAATTGGAAACTACTTATTATTCTGTGAATCGTCGGTCAAGCTTTTCTCCCTCATTTCATTCGTTATTTCTGCGTCATTGATTGAAGTCATTTCACAAATTTAAAATTATTAGGAACAAGTTGAAATTGTTGTGAAATTTCACTTTAGGGATATATCTGAATGAAGAATTTGACCATAGCAATTTTAGAACTTTTTGTAGTTTTCTAAATCAAACGTTTAATCTAAGTGAATTGTTTTTGGTGACATTAATTAATCTTCCGTAAAGATTAAGTTAAATTATTTGAGATTGAAAAATGGCGCAATAAAGTTGAAATCCTTGAAAGCAAAACAACACCTGAGTTAGGCGCATTGCTATCCAAACTATTTCATCTTGCCGATTTTCAACATGTGCTAAAATTCTTACATTTTCACCACATAAATATGCTGTACGATCCATAACAACTCTGAAGGAGTGAAAATTTAGGAGCTAAAAGTTTTAGTAAAAGAAAGATTATGGGGTAGCAAAGGACTCGAAATAATTACGTTTTTTTACTAATTACTTTGATACTAACTTATAAGTTTGAATGGTTAAATTAATTATTCAATAACTTTACAACAAATTATTTGTTATTCATTCATTTTGCTATTCAGTGATAATTAATAGCTAATTCTTAAGTTCAATTTTTTGCAATTATTCATCTTACCTTAATGCTAAAGCACTACGTCTACAACATCCATGCCATGTTACTTCTTTATTTTGTCCAAGCAATGCACACTGCAAAAAAATACGAATAAGTTTAAATTTAAATTTTAACTTTAATTTTTAATAAGAAATTGATGCAACTAACACAATATTTCTCATCCATACAATCTGTAGATGGTCCAATAATTGTGAAATATTTGATACCTTGTGGCATGTTACCATGTCGAATATTAATGATTACCTAGAAGTTTAATCAAAGTATCAAAATGTAAAATGTCGAAATTTTATTTACATACAATACAATTAATATGAGTACAGTCATCAGTTACCAGTATCTCATCTTATAGTATATTTATCAGTATCTCATCTTATATATATTCTTCCGTATATAGTATATATCCTTTCGTACCTTAACATAATAACGTATCGTTCCAAATTTCATCTCCAATGAACATGGCATTGGACAGTGTGGTAACAGAAATTGAAACGGAAATTGGTGCAATCCACTAAATAGTAATCGTTTATGTTTTTCATCGGATTTTTCTGCAAAATTTATTTATTTTTTCATTTTGCATAATTTATATAGTAAATTTTGAAATTATCAGTATCAGAATTTTGAATTGCAAATTTTCAAAAACGAACAAAATGATCAGAATTAAAATTTGATAAATCGAATGTTAAAAGATGGATTCAAAGGATGCAAAAAATGCTTGCAAATTCGATTTGATGCAATGGTCAAAAAAAAGGCTGTCAACAAATTTTTCAATCATTTAATCGTTTAGTTTAATTTATCAGTGTCAATTAAATCTGTGATAATAAACTTCTTCATGTAAGAAATTATTCTTCTCATTTTCCTCACTTTCTTCTTCTACTTTAAAACAATTTTATTCCTCTTATAAAATATTGTAAAATGAATTTTTGAATGTTTGGAAAAAAACTGCTTACCTTGATCCCATACAATTAATTTTTCATTCAATATATATTGATTATCCTGAATGATAGATCTTTCACCTATTTTGCTTGATTTAATATGTGTATGAGCTTTACCACGAAGAATTACACGGATATCTGAAGGTTATGATAAAGTGAAAATTATAAGTTATCTTTATCAGTAAGAAATTTTCATCCAAAATTACTCAAATTTTCTTCTTTGAGTGATTTAGCATAAATAATTAATTACCATCAAATTAAGTATAAAAAAATGAAAAAGTTGACAATTAAAATTTAAAGCTAAATATGATAATGAGAAAAATTCCACTGCACTGCTCTAACAATCAATATCATCGAATTTCTTTGTTTTAAATTTAACAAAGATTCAAACCTTTGATAAGAATATTTTTTGAATTTTCAAGAATAACATTGCCTGATACATTTTCACCACTATAATAAATATCTTTATTAAGTCGTATATCGAATGCTGTGATATAATTCATATTGTTGCTGTAAGATGATGATAATGAGTCGATTGATTAGCGATCAACGATAATGAAATCAAATATTTTCAAGATGATCGAATTTGTAATTTGTAAATCTTTTGGAGATAATAGAAATTTAAAACTTGAAATAAATATTTATTTATTAATTAAGCTAAACCCATTGATTAACTTTAATCATATCATATAGGAGAGAGAATATTTAAAGAAATAAAAATTCATCACTTCTTTTTTTCATCATCTACCTTTTACAAGCTATCATTTGATATATTTTAGGACCAAAATTTTAAGAAAAAAGGATAGAAACGAAAATTGGATTAATCACTTCTTTCTATGAAGAATTTGATATCATAAAATTAAAGAAAGGTGAAAGCTTTCAGCTATGCAAAGAGGTGGAAGCTTCTAACTAAGATGAATATTAATTGCTAATGATTTTTAATTTTATGATATCAAAATGATTTTTGCAAGTATAATAATAATTGTTTGATATCGAAACATAGTGAAAATTTGTATATAAATGATTCAAAAAGATTGAAAAAAAGTCGTACTTTCGCCATCCAATTAAGGTAATAGTTTAATTAGGTTAAATAGTATGATATGTGGCAATATGAGCTTATTGTATTGAATATTCAATTGTATTACTTTCTCCTTATGAAACAATTAATCAAATCGGTTGAACGATTGAGGAAATATAATATGAGAAATAGCATAAATTTGAATATTTCCGTTTTTCAGATCAAAATAGGTTTGTCAATCAATTATTATTCGAGTACACACATATATTAGGTTGAAATTTCTATATTTATAAAATTTCTCCATTTTAAATGCAAAATGAAAATAGTGAATAGAATAAATGAGAGTGAGAAATGAAATAAAATGTAGAAGGTGCTAATATTCGAAACCACAATTATGTTATCTCGAAAAAGATTATTGAAACGACAAAGAGCTATTATAGGATCAACAAATGAAATGGAAATGACTAAACAGATATAGGATAAATAAAATAATCCATCTATGGGCTTAAAGAATAAATTCTGCTCTGTTGATTGGTGATAATGTTAAAGCGAAATTGCTTTTTGAGGAGGAAAAACTATTAAAATCTCACAGAATGACATCCTCTCTTCTCTTTTACTGTTAAAAATGATATTCCTTTGGGATGCAAAAATATATGTATACAAATACTGAAATCAATAAGTAAGAAGTGAAGTTCAGGAAAAAAATGATGCCAGCATTACATATCACCACTGTTTAATCATCTTTAATATCTATAAAATGCATTTCAATGTCTCGTTATGACATACATTTCTTATTAATAGCTCGTTGGCTTGTCGTTCATTGAGAATGCTGCAAACAAATTTTAGTAACATTAGTTGACTCATTTATCGTAAAGCACACTCATCATCTTTTTATTTTAATACTTTTTTCTTATTCCCAAATTGTTTGAATTCATTATTTAAAAACTACACCACCTGATACTAGATAATTAGAGGTTAATATTAACAACATATTTTTAATTATGCCATTGGAATAACAAAAGTAAAACCAAATTTCGCTTAGTTATTTTTAACGGCTAACATAATGTTGGACTTCACTTTTGATAATTTAAATCAAAATTCGACATCTTTTTTCACTTTTTTTGAAGACTCTATTTTAATTGTATTTGAATAAAACATCAACAGAGATTTTTTATCATTTAAATAGAACCAAAAAATAATCCATACAAATATACTGATTCCAAATTAAGCATTATATTGATTCCAAATTAAGCATGAATGTCTAAATCAGAAACAAAAAAAAAATACATGTGAAATTTTTACTACTATGAACATAGTAATAGTGGACAATGGGGAATGAAATATCGACTAGTCGGTAAACAGCAGCTCTTAGAAATTCAAATGGAATATTTAAATGTTAGGTATCAATAAAGCTCATTTTCGGTCTTAGCCAGAAGTACACTTTGATGTAGATATGATCGAATTTTGCAATGTTTTAATTCGCACTTATAGTCGTTTTACTGCCACAGCGGTCGATTCGCCTCCGCCATTACATATCGTTGCGATACCAATCTGATTGACTTGAAGAGCATGCAGAAGTGTTACAACTATTCGTGCTCCAGATGCTCTGCAAAGAAAATTCAGCTTGTGGCAAACAACGAGTAGGATGTGGGAAGATTAGAAGAAAATAGCAGACAAAACAGTGCGGAAAATGTTTAAACGGTAAAAGCCTAGATATTGTAAAAAATAGAACGAATGGCAGATTTAAGAAATTAAAGTGAAACCACATATCACAGCTGAATTGGCATATTAAGTTTCACTTGACAATTTGAGCGTGATAAGTAACTATCACCTGATAAATTATGAAATCTCTCGCCACAGATTATCTATCAGTGACTACTAGCATTCAATTAAATAGTGCTGTAACAAAAAAAAATATTTAAAACAAAAAACTGTTTGCATATTATGATATCGCACTTCCTATCAGCTGATTATTTTGAACTTCATATTAATTGAATGTTAATAGTTGTTGTGGATAAGAACCATCTCTACAAAGCAAGAGTTGTGATACCACTTCTTATTTTTTTAAAGCTCATCCTTAGTTAGGTTGTCAATAGAACTAAATCGCATAGAATCCGCCTAATGGAAATTTTAGAAAAGCAGTAACAAACCCAATCGGATGACCAAGCGCAACAGAACCACCGCGAACGTTAACACGGCTGCTATCCAAACCCATATCACGCAAAAAAACAATAGCAGTCATAGCAAACGCTTCATTAATTTCCCATAATGAAACTTCTTCGGCCGAAACGCCAATTTTTGACAGTAACTTTAAAAATCTCGAAAAGTTTTGCAAGAAAAATTTTCGTCGTGGAAAACATCAGCATTTTAACTGCTCAACAAAGCACTTAAGTATTAAGAAGTAATAAAACTGCCAATATTATCTGAAATACGAACTGACCTTTTTTGCAGCAACAGACGGTGCACGACTGAAGTCCACAGGTTCAAGTGCGGCTTCTGCATAACCCAACACTTGCGCTATTGGATGGCAACCTTGATGAACTATAAATTTATTGCTTGCAATCAACAGTGCAGCTGCTCCATCGCTAATAGTGCTAGCGTTTGCCGCAGTTATGGTTCCTGTATCTGGTATGAAGGCAGGTTTCAGATGGGGTACCTAGAAACTGTCCAACATGGTAAATAAAAAACCAACAAAAGTTTTGATAGCAGTTTTTTACTATGGTGAAGGTAAGCAGTTGGTAGAAATGATAAAGAACGAGATATCAAACAACATTTCACATTTAATGAAGAAAGAAGAGGAATTATCCATAAAGTGGCAAAATCTGTATATATTGCATTTTCTTTCTGGAAAACGTAGATAAAAATAATAAAATAAAAGAGCATAAAATGCTTACCTTCAAAGGATCCAGTCTTTTATATTCTTCATCTTGAAATACTTCATTTGAATCAAAACACTTCACCGGCACAACTTCTTCATCAAACAGGCCTTCCTTTAAACATATTTTTTGAAATCCTACAAGCTGAAAATATGAAATTCGAGTATTGACATTAAAAAATAACAAATTACCTTCCAAGCATGGTGGGCCCGCCGATAGCTTTCCAACGCATACTCATCCTGCTCTTTACGGCTTATCGAATATTCAGAGACAGTTTTTTCGGCACAGGCACCCATCTTCGATTTTGTAAAGGCGTCATTTAAACCATCCTCAAACATACTATCCTGAAAACTACTAGTATTTAAGAATGGAAATCAGGATCTGGTATAGATGTAAGTATAGAGCTCAAAAAATTTAAAAATGAATAAATCAGCGTCTTAGATTTAAATTCAAAAATCTTACTACAAGGGGAATATTCATGTCGTTGCTAGCATCACGAGGCACGCCATAGTAAGCATTACTCATACTTTCCGTACCAGCCGCCAAGACAACATCACGATCACCCAGATGAATCGCTTGCGTAGCTATGATGATTGCCTTCATACTCGATGAACATACCTTGTTGATAGTCACGCTTGGCGAAGTAACAGGAATACCTAAATTTAATTTAGTGTGAAAAAGAACTTCAAGCATGTCGATGTCGTTAATCCGAATAATTTTCAAAAATTTCAGCATTATATACCATTTACCAGCATTAATTGAAATTTGTCGAGCGATATTCTGTCCGTGACATGAAGTAAGTACACAACCGACCACTGTTTCATCGATATAACTGGGACAGATCCCTAAAGATCTGAAGTAATGATCGAACTTACCAAAAAACAATCTAATTGGAACATGGAGTTGAAGCGAATTTATTTTTCGAAATTAAATTCAGAAGGTTCCCATATTACATGCTTTATTTCCTTATAATTACGCTTTTTTCAGATACCGGAAAAATTAACAATTCTTAGCTTGAAAAAGGCCCTCTACTAATCATATTTCTAGAATTTTTGACAGAATTCTAAAATCCATTACGAAAGTGATATATTTAAGCATCAATAATAGAGAACTGTGCAAAACGGAAAGCAAGAAAACTAGAAAAAAGCTAGCACTTAGAATTTCCAATCTTCGCCCCTTCCAGGCTTTTTGAAGAATTTCGATATATTAATTTAAAACAACAAACTAAACCAGCTTTTCTTATTGCTTCTTTGGTTGCGACAACTCCTAAATACACCGGTGAGCACGTCTTCAACATTTTACGATAACTGCCTATAGGCGTACGTACAGCTGAAATAATATAGACATCCTCCAGTTGGCGTCTTGCTCCATTATTTTTGCTGTCCATTTTCCAGTATTTTGAATTTGATCAAATCCTTAATGAAACAAAAATAAGACAAGACAGACCTGCTACGGTCCTTCAATTAATAAACTTAAAAATGACAGACAAACAACTTTTCAACGAAAAACCATATTTATCTGAACCTGAAATTAAGTGTAAGACCAAGATTTCGCGACTTTAATCGTCAACATAACCATTTATGAGGAAATACTCTAAAAAAACGAATGTTACAGTAATTGATGGATTAGTAACTTTGCTGCCCGTATACTCAAAAATTTACATAAATGTTGAACAAAAAATGTCCCCATATCGAGAGTAGTAGTACAAGTGTCCATTTCCTTTTTTCTAGAATTCAAAGTACTGGTACCTGAAAGTGAATCAATTCTGATCCTTCTAATTGAGAAATTAATGAAAGGACAAAATCCAACAAAAGCAATCATTCCAGAAATGGAAATTTTTTTATTAAATAAGTGTGAAACAGAAAACTGAAAATGGTCGATGTTTGAAGCAGAATACTATATAATGACCCAGCTGCACTCATTAAATACAATTCATTTTTTCCTTCTGATTAATTAATAACTTAAACTGATCGCATTGCAGTCATCATAAAAATTACAACAGCAAATGAAAATGCTAACTTGAAAATTCAGTCATCAAAGATTACAAGAAAATGTTAACTAGACAGGTATATTGTACTTGTCTGGAATTTTCAAGTTGACATCGAGATAATTATAAAAAATGAGAAAATTCAAATAATTGCTTATAGTTATAGACGAACACTTTTAGAGTACAGCACTTAGAAAATTCAGAAATTTTCATTGGTTATTCCGCTTCTTACACCTTCACCATCACGATCCATGTAAACGCTTATGATCTGGTTTCATTGTATACAACGATGACTTCGCAATATTCCGATACATGCTTGCCAACCTTTAAAGGATTTTGTAAATCGTCCCATTTCATTTTGCATTTCCTACAAGTCTGATTTCAGATCATAGTTTACATTAACGATGTGTTCGAACACTTATATTAATTTATCGACCAGCTAAGTTTTGTTATCATTGACTGAGACCAAATATGTGCAAGATATGTGAAAATTCAAAAATATGTAATGCATGATGGTATTCCTACCACAAAACACTATCAGTTGTCTACTTAATACTCCGCTACGATTTTGGACGAATCCGACAACGGCTTTTCTACCACTCTTTAACACTTGTTGTATTGTTTTTCCTATCTTCCTTTTGACACAGTATTGTGAAATTCAAAGCTTAAAAAAAATTGATCATCAATCTAGAAAAAAAAAATACTAAATAAAATGCAAAAAATCAACCGAAATGATATTCCACGCAGAGTAACCATTTCTGCTCAATAATAATCAATGCAGGGGGCAAAGATGCTTCATTAATCTTGGAAGTAATTCATGCTTCAATTGTAGATTTATTATTTTGTTGCTTTGATTACCTGCAAAATCATGTTTTTCTTAATATATATAAATTGATGATTGTAGTAGTAATTTAAAATATCATAGAAAATGACCAACATTTGATGACTGAGATTAGTGGAGATTCATCGAATGCAAATATTCGAGCCAGTGATTCCAGAGTTTGTTAATTGGTAAATTGAAACATCGTTCGGACAATAACTTCCGCATCCCTCATGTGACCCATGTGACATTCCCAATTCACCCATGTGACATTCTCCGATGTTTACAATATAATTTCTTTTGCATAGAAAAACTGGAAATTTCGCAAGCTTAACAAAACACAATGCAATAACAAAATTTTTCCCCAAATATTCAAGTTATCAAGCTAGCAGCATTTTCTGTAGACATACTACGGCACAACGGCACAACTCCGGAAGTGTAAATATCTGATGGGACATATACTACAACACAACAGTGCAACTCCGGAAGTGTATTTTCTGTAGACATACTACGGCACAGCGGCACAGCGGCACAACTCCGGAAGTGTAAATATCTGATGGGACATACTACAACACAACAGTACAACTCCGGAAGTGTAAATATCTGATGGGACATATACTACAACACAACAGTACAACTCCGGAAGTGTAAATATCTGATGGGACATATACTACAACACAACAGTACAACTCCGGAAGTGTAAATATCTGATAGGAGATGATAAATATTATTATGTAGGAAAATAATTAAGCATGATCGGAACCCAAAATGCGGAACATATGTGAGCAGAGGCAAAAATTGGTGAATAATATAACTTTTTTATTTATAGTGGAGAAAACAAAATAACAAAGAACATTACAATATTTGTAGTGTAGAAAAGAATGTGAGTGTTGGAGAAAGACAATAGAGTCCAACGATATAGAGTGGAAGAAGTATGTGAGGGAGTCTTTTATTATGGATTGGAAAAGAAGTAGTAGTAGTAGTAGTAGTAAGATGAGCGAGCATATGTTCAAATGTAGTGATCCAATATTATCCGGCTGCATACCTCATTACTGTGCAAAATTGGCGGATCAAATGAATGAAGATGGGAGGAGGTAATGCTTTCATGGACTTTCAGGATTTTGAAAATTTATGTAAAAATTTAGGACTCGAGAATGACGTGTAAGCGTGAACGTGAAGATTCAAACGTAAACGGAAAGGCTGGAAATAGCCGAGAAGATTGCTTTTCAAAATATCATTCATTTTGTTAAATCTTACATTATAAATTTCAAATTAATTGTTGTTGTTGTATTGTTGAAATGAAAATATTAAAAGCTTAGAAAAATTTTTCAGACAGTTTAATCAGAGTTCAGATTTTTATTTTAGATTTTATATTCAGAATTCAGATTTTATTTTAGATTTTATATTCAGAGATTTTATATTCAGAGTTCAGATTTTATTTTAGATTTTATATTCAGAGTTCAGATTTTAATTTTACATTTTATATTCTGAATTCAGATTTTATTTTAGATTTTATACTCAGAGATTTTATATTCTGAGTTCAGATTTTAATCACTCCTTTTCTATAACATTTTCTTCCTTTTGCTTTGATGACAATATTTTACTGAGTTGTTGTTTTAATTTCAAAACTAAAATTTACTTTGGCATAGAATTTATTTGACATTCATTTTTTGCAAATCATGCAATTACATTCTTGAAAATGGAATTTCTTTTAAATTCAATTTTGCCTAATTTCAAAGCTTTCATATGATATATGAAAGTGTAAAATGTTGAAGAATAATCTAAATTACTCATTGAAGTTATAAAACTATCCCAATAATTCTAGCCAATATTTTAGGTATTCGCTAAAGATATGTTTTGTATGAAAAATGTTATTCATATGAGGCCAAACATATGATTTTATAAGGAATATAAATAAATATAAACTAGTCCTAAGGAATATAAATAAATATAAATTAATCCTATACTTTCATCTTTACTTTGTCTTAATTCACAATCGAATAATGAATTTGCAGAATTTTAGGCTGTTTTATTTAAACGTTTAATTGTTCTTTTCATTTTATTTAATTAAAAAATTCCTTTTATAATTTAAAAAATAAGCGTTCAATTAAAATTATAAAATCTACAGGTATTGTTTTAGAGTAATGTTAGCAAATGATTGATTCATTTTAATGTTAATTTCTTTCATACATTTTGATCATTTTATTTGTTGTATTATTTTACAATTGTTGAAATAAAATATCAAAGATAATCGTTTTTTATTGCCACTTTCTCTAATAGATACAAAGTTCATAATTGACGATGAAAATTTTAATAACAATTAAATTAGCATAAATTATTATCGAATAATTAATGGCATTTTTATTATAACACAATGTATATTATATATATCATAAATGGTACAAATTTATTGGTAACGTTCATACAAAGTGTTTATTTTGTGGTTTATATTAAAATAAAAAATTCCTAAAAGTTTTAATTTGATTTCATATTGACCCGTTTCTTTCAAACATGTGGACATTCGCCTTTGACATGTAGACATTCTCATGTGGACATTCGCCTTTGACATGTGGACATTCTCCTTTAACATATGGACATTCTCATGTAGACATTCGCCTTTCACATGTGGACATTCATTCTCCTTTGTACATCCTCCTTTGTTTCTAACAATTTTGTTTATCATTTACTCCATATATATATTTTTTTTGAAGTGACCGCTGAAATTTATATTATACAAATATGATATTTTAAATTCTCCTTAAATATTAATATCGTGAAATTTGATAAATTTTAATCCGAAAAATTTATTTCCACATGACAGCAAATACTTATTGATTGAATTTTAAACTTACAAAAATTAAAAACTAAGAAATTGGCTCGCTTAATTTCAAATTAAATAAAATAAAATGATCTTAATAAATCAAATCTATTAAATCAATAATGAAATGATTAAATGCATTTATTATTTATTACCTTTTTTTAATTCAACAACAAAATCATGAAATTGCCAGTTGTCTTCTTAAAATTCGTCGCGGACGTTGTTGAGGAGAATATTGTGGTGGTGATAGTTGATGATTTGTTGATGAATTTAATATTTCATCATTCTTTTCACTCACTACTGATTGCGAACGAAATATTGCTACAAAAATATTCTTTCTTTTGAATGAATGAATTAAGTGAAAAGTTAAAATTTATTTAATTTAATTAACTTTTAAAAACAATTAAAAAAATTTCATCATATTCAAGGTTAAATGATATATTAGAGAAAAATATGATATTGACAGATTGTTTGAGAAAAATGAAAAGAAATTAATTTCTTACCTTTATTCCAAAATTTCTTTATGTTAATATTTTGTGCAACATTTTCTGATCGTCTACGTGGCACACCTGACGTATTACATTCATTCCTTTCAAAATCGAATTGTTCCTCGTATCGCGATGGTTGACGTGGAATTAAATATGACGAATGAAAGATTGATGAACGATTAATCTAAAAATTAATTTCATTGTTTTTTTTTTGTCGAAAATTTTGATTTAAAATTTAGCATATTTTAATTGATATATTTCTTTTTTTGAAATTTAATGAAACAATAAAAAAAAGAAATTGAAAAATTATTATTCAACCTGTATGGGAGGTTTTGCAGCAATATTATTCTTATGCATATAAGCAATTAGATGCCATGAAACATTACGCAAAACTCGTTCAGCTATTCGTTTTGCATTTTGCCTTAATGTTGCATTTTCTATCATTACGGAATTTAAATCGATGAACTGTAATTAATCAGATTTTAATTAATGAAATTTTTTGAATTAATATTTAATAGAAAAATTTACAATCAAACGAGAAAAGAAAAAGAAGACAAAAGAAGTTACTTTATAAAATATTTGAATATTAGGAAAAATTTAATTTTTCATTTTGTACTCAAATTCTAGGATGTACAAATAAGCTATCATCTACTGAGATTTATAAGCTGTCATCAATTGAGATTTTTGCAAATTTATAAAATGACACAAATGAAGATTTCACTCATAAAGCAGAAAACATTATCATAAAATCAAAAATTTATATCATATAAAATAATTCCTTAACAAATTTAAAAATGCATCAAAATAATTCTATCATTTCTTTATCAAATGATAAGAAAAGAAATTATTAATTTTAGAAATAAAACCTCAACAAAATCAGAATTCGTTGATAAGTCATGCGAAAATATATTTTTCTTAGGATTTGTATTATTATAAAATCCATTCAATTCCGCCATTCGCCTTCCCAAAAATATAATTGAAATTGGCGCTTTTGTCATATTTGTTATAACATCCAATAGTTTTTTGGAATTAGCAATTGCATTGTTCGATATAAAAATGAGTAAAACATAATAATGCAATCCATTCTTACCCTCATTTTCTGCTACCCTAAAATTAATGAAATTGAATGATTTCTTGTTGAAATATGATTTGTTTGAAATCATTCTTACTTTATTTCTATAGTTAATAATGCCTAAAAAATCTTGTCATATTATGAATTTCAATAAATGCATCCAAATAATCTCACTTAGCTACAGCATCAACAACAGCTGAATATTCCGCATGATCATTTGGTATCACTTTTTGTCTGGCATTTCGGTATGCTTCTAATATTCCATCAATACCACGACAATACGGTTCTGTTTCAAAATTCTGCAAACAAATAAATATGAAAAGTGAAATTACAACTTAATATTTACACTTTGATAAAGCTATTTGTCATCGCTTTCCATAAAGTTTTAAATTGACAAAATAATAATTATTAATAAATAAATTCAATTTTATAGTATAACTTCATTTTTACATATTTTTGCTTATTATGGGAGCAAAGAATTTCAAAAAAATTTGCATCCAAAAAAGAAATATATATGAACTGATAAATAAATATAAATGAATGATAGATAATTGAATAAATTTAAGTGACAGCAACATATCGCCAAACGAACTGATAAATAAAGCAAACAGTTTAATATAGCACTAAACCATAATTTTTGCTATCATTGAGTAATCGAAGTTTAGCAATTAAAAACGGAGTGAAATATTGATGTAAAATTCATCCTTTGAAATATTTGAAGCACTAACCAAATGGAAAACCTGTGGATTATTCAATGCTTGCGGAATTTTGGCACCAAAACCAAATGCCGGAAACATTTTACTCCTATAAATGTATCTATCAGATTTATATTTATTGAAATAAAATTAAAAATTTGAAATAACATCGTCAATCTTTACCAATAATAGGATTATTTTCTTAAGAAATCAAAACTACGGTAAAAAGAAAACTTTCAAAAAGTTTGATTTATTTTTTTAGCCAACAAATTTCTTATTAAAATAGACTGATAATTCTGCAAATTAGTAATGATGAATTAGTAATTATTAGTAATAATGAATAATGAAGTAATATTAATGCATACGAATTGTACTCTCGAATAATACCAGCGATACCTTTAATAGCACAATCAAAATCATTATCAAATACATTCATACCATTTAATACATTAACACCTAAATTAGTTGAAAAATCCACTGCTACTGCAAGATGAAGTTGAGTTCTGAAATATTTCTTTTTTCATAAAAAGAGATCATAAATGATCGATAGTAGAAATGGTCAAATTTTAACAATTAATTAATATTAATATTGCTAATTAATATATATATATATATATATATATAATCCATTTCTTTGCAACCAAATTTCTGATTCTTATTTATTTAGAAATAATAGTCGTGGAAATTATAACAGAATCAGCAATAATACTATTTTCACTTAATGAATTGATAAGTATAAAATTTTTTAAGAATGTATTTGAAGTTAAATACTATAAAATTTCTAATCTAATTATTACTCTAAGTTATTAGATGGTGTAATATTTCAAAATTTTTAATTTAAAAAACTTTAACAACTAACCCGCTGGTAATATAATCCAAGAATGAATAAAATGATACATCACTAAATTTAATCAATTCCATTGTTCCACTATTTAAATATCCTTTTTTTAATTTTTTTTTAGGATCAATTAAATTATAAACATTTTCCACCCCCGCACCATATTTCATTTTTGCATATGTTGTTAGAAATGAACCAATCATGCCTGTTTTATTCATTTCATCACGATACAGTACATCTATTTCTAGCAATCTAAAAGGTTTCAATTTTTCATTAAAAACGTTTTTCACAATTAATCCAAATTATTTGTCGAATTTTTTCAAAACAATTTTTATTGATTTATGAAATGGATTTATTTGTACAATTTAGTGATTATTTAAAATAGTTATTAATTGAAAAAATTAATATGATTGATATTCAATTAATACTAAAACAAAAAACACGTACAAACGTCATATTTCTATTAGTGTTAAAATTGCGTAACGTAAATGTTTTACGGGATTATATAGTGAATTTGAAATTGTAAAATATTTATATTTAAAATTCATTACAAAAACACTTAATTTGTTTAATTAAATTTTAATTAAATCAAAATAAAATTATGAAACTATAAGTATTCTTTTTAAAATCACTTAAACTATAAAATATTGAAATGATTCAATTATTTATAAAACAGAAATAAAAGTTACGAAAATCAATATTTTACGAAAAAACAATGAAACCTATTTCGATGATCAGCAATTTTCCTCAAATGTAAATTAAATGGTCGCCAAATAGGATGAGAATGTTCTCGGATAGCTTCACTTCGATACAATTCCGTTTTTGTTCCATCATTTTCAATCTTATATATCTGAGAAATAAAATAGTTTGCAGAGAGTAAAATCATATCTTATTTATTTGTATATGTAATAAATAAAGATCACATAGATGAAGAATGATAGTGTAATCAAATTTTGAGTGATAGTAAATGTAGATCGAATAAAATGGGATCATGAATTAAACAGGATATGGTAATGTAATTAACTTCTTGAATGTAAAATTTCTAATGTAATTAACTTCTTAAGAATAGCCCTGCATAATTTAAAGCAATTTTACAATTCTTAATTTTGATAAAAAATTATTTTAATTAGGACGATCGTTGTGAAAGAATGTTTTTGTTAATTAATAAAATTCTTTTTTGATAAATAATAATCATTTACCATGAAAAAAACTGATGTTTCATCAAAAAATTTATCCTTTTTTTTCAAATTTTTCCCGGAAAATTGCAATATTACAGGTGCCGCTTTTTCAGGTAATCGAGCAGAGACAAGAATCATTCCACAGTACATTCCTTGTGGTACCGTTTGAAGTTGACCAACGGATGTGGTTATTACTGATGTTTTTGTACTGAAAAATGATTGATATACCTAATTGTGTTGTAAAATATAAAATTTAACTAAAACGAAAGAAAAATACAATTTAAAAATTTTCTAATATTTAAAACAATAAGTTAAATATTCAAATATTAAATAATTTTTTTAATTAATTTGAAAAAAATTACCTTAAAGGTAATTGAAGTTGTGTGCCAAATGCGCCAATTAATTCATCAAGTTTGAATATACAACTGCCAATAACATTACCAACTGTATTCTTCAATGCGGCACCTATCGAAAAATCTCTTCTAAAAATTAAGTTTTAAAATTAAAACTTATTAGAAATTATTTAATATATGATAAAAGAAGGATAAAAGTGCTACAATTCATCCTTTTCTCAATCTCTCAGTTAATCCCGTGATTTCTCATTCATTCCAAATAAATATCTCATGACTTTTCAAATTCTTTCATACATTTCATGATTGTATGTGATCATTATCAATCCAATTCAATCATTTACTACACCGAAATATCAAATTTGCTATCTTTCGATCAAAGAGTACAAAAAATTATTAATATGAAAATTTCGAATTATAACTCAAATAATTAAATCTTAAGAAACTATCTGTAAATAACAGCATACATTTCGATTTTCATCAATTGTATCTTTTCGAAAAAATAGTCAACAGTGAAAGACATATCGAAAGAAATATGATTTGAGTATCGTAATTTCGGTTCGCTTGTCGAATGCTACAATAGCGTCAAAAATGTAATTAATCATTAATTAATTAAAATTTACAAAAGTGTCATCTGTTTTAGGCCTATAATAGTTGACATTGAGAATATCTGAATAAATTTTCGGTATATTGTTTAATCTCTCCTATGAATAATGCAAATTTTACGATGAATCATAATTTCACTACTAAAAATTAGCCTATTGCCACATTTTTTTCCCACATAATATTGTTACAAATATAATCATATTACTACATTATGATACTATAGTATTACCATATAATATATAGGGAGAAATCGTTGTTTTGATGATAATTTTGATGTTAATCAAAACAACTTGTCCCTGTACAGTATACGGTAATATTGTTTATACATCATAATATAGTAATATGATATTATATTTTATAGTATTATGATAGCTATGGTTATAGCTATTATTGAATAATCTAAATTAAAAACAAAAAAGAGTATATCTTAAATTCTCTTTGATGAAATCAAATTTTGATAACGGATATTGAAATTAATGATAAGCTAAACTGAAAAACAAACCAATAACCATATTTTTTCATTTTCATTATCATTTTCATAAAGTACACTGAAGACATAATTATTGATTGTTGATGATGAAATATCAGTAAGATTTCTGAAAAGCGTAAGAAAAAGATAATTGATAAGAATGAAAAGTATTAAATGAATGGAGGGAGGGGGAAAAAAAAGAAGTGATATAATGATAAGATGATAAAAATTTACCGTTTAAAATAATTCAAAAAATTTGCATAAATATTAATAGAAGGAAAAAACGATTATAAAATGTCGTCATCATTTAAAGAAACTATGAATTTAATTCATCAAAAAATTCAATAAAATGCTTTTTAACTAATGAAATAAACATAAGGACAGACAAAAAAAGCACAATTACCACAAATAAGAAAATTGAAAGAACGTGCCGAAGTTCGACGATAATTTCAATTTTTTCCTGATTGGAAAAATGTTTGTTATGAACGACTGAATCGCTTGCTGAACGACTACGCCTTAAAGTTTATGGATTAACGAATTATCCGGATAATATTTTATTCATCTTTTCTTTAAGTTAACGAATAATATCGAGTAATATATTACTAATATCTTCTATAAGTTAATGAGTAACACTGAGTAATATATTACTAATTTCTTCTTTAAGTTAGTGAGTAATATATTACTAATATCTTCTATAAGTTAATGAGTAACACTGAGTAATATATTACTAATTTCTTCTTTAAGTTAGTGAGTAATATATTACTAATATCTTCTATAAGTTAATGAGTAACACTGAGTAATATATTACTAATTTCTTCTTTAAGTTAGTGAGTAATATATTACTAACTTTTTGTTTAAGTTAATGAATAATACCGAGTAATACTTTATTTTTTCTTTGTGATATAATATTTTAAATTATGACAACTTTAATTATTATTATTAATTAGTTTAAGAAAAATAATAGTTTTTAAGAAAAATTACTTTCTAAAAGTGACTATTTAGTTTTGGTCAAAAAAACATAAATATTTTAAGGATTAATTCAGAAAACTATTTGAATGTATTTTTATTTATTAATGTAAAACTTATTTTTGTTTTATGCTTGAAATACTTTTGTTTTCTTTCTTTCTAATAAATATCAAATTGGAAGTTAAAAATATTTTTTATAACTGCAATTATTACTTACAGTTCTAAAATCAAAATAAACTAATACCTAAGTCGATCTATCTATACAATAGATATCTATAGAATAGATAAAACAGAGTCCAAAAATTCCGATTGGCTGTTACTAACGATAGTAAAGAAATATCATTATTGTGCTACTATTATTATTATTATACAACAATAACTTATTGAACACCTGGAAGTATTATAATTGTTAGCATAGCTATTTCAAATTCATTCAACTTATTCTCATTATCTATTCATCCATTGAAATCATTTATTTAATCTTTGAATAAATCAGTTCGATAGAAAATGTGAAAAACAATCACTAGAAGAATGAAATATGATGTTCAAATGTTATCAGATCAGATCAGTAATAAATAATCGTTTTGTTTACTCTTTAATCATCTCTTTCTCCTTCTCTCTTACAGCTTTTCTCTTTTTAATAATCCATAACTAATAGTTTGCGATTGATATATATCGATATATCATTAAACGATTCATGGCTTATATTATTCTTTAATTTTTAATATCATTTTTTATATCATTTTATATCATTTTTTATATCATTTTTTTTAATATCATTTTTTTACATTCGAACATTTCTAATATTTCAAAGTAGTTTTTAATTTTACACTTCATTGATATTCAATGATTCATTTACGATTCAGTGAAATTAAAAATGGAAAAAAGAAGGGATACATATTTTGAAATATTATGTGAAGCGTTGTATCGTATCTTCAATTTTCATAATCAATGATCATTGATCTAAAGATTTAACAAAACTGTTCAAATATCAAATATCAATGAATCGCTAAAATTTACATAATTGAGTGCAATAATTAACTATCAACTCTCATTAAAATTTATATTACAGTAATTTATATTTTAATCACATATTTAAAACTAATTCTAATTAATCATTAATATAAATACGTAAAGAGAAATTATAAACTACGTTGTATATCGAATTAGAAAATGCAAATAAGAATAAGTTTGATCGAAGTGAATAGTTTTAAAAGCTTTAGATGCCATATGGTTACTGTAAATCAAACTTTAAGAAATCTGACATCTATCTATATTCAAATAAATATAGAATGAAATTAATCATTATGATAGATCATATGCTTGCTAATCAGATAATTTTAAGAATTGTTGCATATTTACTTAGATATGTATGCAAGCAACAATAATTAATGTTACTAAAATGAGCAACAAATTATTTCATCTAACATCTTATTTATTGTTTTATTTTATATTGTATAATATTAAGCAGTTATTTTTTCTTTGAAGTTAATTCGAATTAACAATTAATTCAATACCAGTAATATTTCATATTGAATTATATCATTTTAACATTGAATTTTTCCGATTTTATCAATACAAGTTACAGTATTTTGATATTATGAAAATTACAGTACTTCGATAGTATGAATTCTTCTACAACAATCACTGGCACTTCAAACACCGTAATTATAGAGTAGGGTAAAAAAAGAGGGAATTAAATGAAATAAATTTGATTGAGATAGAATAAAATGATATTGATAAATACGTCTACAAATAAAATCTCTACAAATTCCATTCTGTAAATTAGATTGTCAAAAACTTTTACAAATTCAATTAATGATTTTAAATAAAAAATAAAATCCAGAAAAGCTCTTGAATCATAATTGTACAAGCTAATATATTCCTGAAATTGTTAACTGTTAATAGTAAGGGAAAGTATAAAAGAATTAGAAAGAGTTGATAAAATGCAAATATAATTTTCACTTTTATATCTTCCACGAAATTTCCCATAATTAATAAATAATATTGTTGATAAATAGATATATTTTTTATCATTATATTCTATCATTTATCACTATTACTATCCAATATTCCATTTTTCTGATTCTTGCAATGTTAGAAAATTATCAATTTTTCTTTCCTCTTAATTCTTTTAATTGATTTTTATCAATTCTTATCAGTGAAATGGATAAAAAAAGAAAGATAAGCTTACCGTGCTGTTAGTGCACTAATAAAGCCAGTTTTGGTTGAACGCCTTCTTAGCGTCAAATAACGGCTACTGAATTGTGATAAATTCATTTTCTCATATCAATTGTCCGGATAATTTTCTTAGTCAAATAATTTCAGAATAATCACTAAAAAATTAAATAATATTTACAACCAGGAACTGTGCAAATATTTATTTACTAATATCAAAAGCTTTTAAAAAAAGAAAAATAATAATTACAGTAGCATATAATATTTATTATATCATTATCAGTACAACTGAAGTATAATATAACATAAGTATTACATGTGAGATTCTCAAAAGATTTAAGACAATTTTGCATTTTTATCTAAACAATCCTAAAATGTGAGATAGACCTGAAATGAAATTCTTATCACAACGCATGCACATTTTTTGATGATATCAATCAATAATTTTAAAATTTTAATCGATTAATCTTCATTAAATGCAAAAGATAAGAGTTTGTACAAAAATTACACAAACACTGAGAAGAAGATAAATAATTATGCAACAATTAGTTGGTAAGGTATAAGTGTTTAGATGATAATAATATAATTACAATGATGAAAGGAATGAAAGATAAGAGGAATGAGAAAAAGGCTGTCACTTTGGTCATTATATTTTAAAATGCAACAATAATATTGACAACATATCTTAGACTAGCATGTTGAATTATTACTATTAATACAACTGTTGAGAATAATACTATTGCTAATACTATTATTATACTACTATTACTAGTAATAATAATATTTTTCTTTCTCATTCTACTATTATTATTAATAATAATAATAATAATATTTTCTATTATTACTCCAACTACTAATACTACAATACTTTTCTTTCTCATGCTACTATTATTACTATTAGTAATAATACATTCTGTTATTACTACTACTATTACTGCTATTGCTATCAGTAATAATATTATCATTTTCTAGTACTACAACTTTATCACAAATGATTATGCTAATAATCTAATAACATCAATAACAGTAACAGTAATAATGTAATTAATAATTAATTACCACAAATGATTATGCTAATAATAACATCGATAATAATAATCATAATTCCATTAATGATTGATTATCACTAATGATTATACTAATAATCTAATAACATCAATAACAGTAATAGTAATAATTCCATTAATAATTAATTATCACTAATGATTATGCTAATAACCTAATAACATCAATAGCAATAATAGTAATAATTTAATTAGCAGCTATATCCGATGGAATAGCATTGGGGATAAGAGGAAAATTGAAGTTAGCATTATAATTTCATATGGATATGCTCAAAAAGGATGTATTAAAAGAAATTCATAATATTCTTTCTACAACAAATAGATTGATAATAATTCAATTTTCCGAAATCATTTCATATTTTAAAAAAAAAATGAAACAACAAAAGAATTCGTCGTATATTGAAATTGAAATGAAAAACTTTTCAACAAATTTAATGAAATAGTTTTAATATAAATTTCATTCATTTTAGTTAATGAAAGAATGAAAAAGAATAATGAAATAATTAAGCAAAAATTAATTCTCTCTCCTAATTATCTCATACTAATAAATCACTATGAATTTACAAATAAAATTTTTTTTTTTAATTATTTAATTTCTTTTCTTTTAAGTTAGCTATTTTTTTTTTCGAAAATTTCAAATAAAAATTATAATTTTTAAATTATATATAAATTTATGTGTAATAACGTTTTTGAAATTTGAAAAAGTAAAAAAGGTAAAATTAGTTTTGGTTCATTTAAATCTCTGAAAATCCTCACGAGGATAATAAATAAGTTCAATTTCGTTTATTAAGAGGTTGAGAAAGTAGCATAAAGTGTCATTAACCGATTGGCTCATTTACATCTTTGCCTTCTCATTTCAAGAAATCATGAATTAAATCATGAACTCAATAGTTATCATTTACACATACACACACATACATACACACATACATATATATATATATCATTTACACATACACACACACATATCTCGCTTTATATATATACACATATATATTCGCACTTTGTTCTGTGTATGTCTGTAAATGTGTATATGTAAGTACAGATAAACATAGGCAAAAAAGCCTTAGATATATACATACAACATGCATGCATGCATACATACATACACAGACACATACACACACACACACACATACATATATATATATTTGCATGCATAAAATGTATGTCTCAAAATTAAATTGAAAAGAATAACTTAGGGGATATTCGATATTAGAGAATATTCTTCTCATAATATAACAACTATCATATTATCATTATTTATTATCAAACAATATCAATTTTAACATTTGCTGATTTTTTTTATTTAATCAAAAATTAAAAATTAATTTAGTGAAAAAAGAATTTTACTGCGATATTTTTATTGAAGAAATATCAGTTAAGATTACATCAAATTTATATTAAATCATTTTTATTTCAAAAATTTAATATATACCTAATTGGTGGATTTAACATATACCTGAGAGTTTCGAAAAGTTTGGAAAGATTTAATACATACCTGAGAGTTTCGAAAAGTTCAAAGATTTAACATATACCTGAGAGTTTCGAAAAGTTTGGAAAGATTTAATACATACCTGAGAGTTTCGAAAAGTTCAAAGATTTAACATATACCTGAGAGTTTCGAAAAGTTTGGAAAGATTTAATACGTACCTGAGAGTTTCGAAAAGTTCAAAGATTTAACATATACCTGAGAGTTTCGAAAAGTTTGGAAAGATTTAATACATACCTGAGAGTTTCGAAAAGTTCAAAGATTTAACATGCACCTGAGAGTTTCGAAAAATTTGAAAAGATTAAAAAGTTCGATCGATTAAATTGTAATGCATAATAATATATCTCACAATTTTGCTTTGCATTGCATGTATAATTTTCTCTTAAAAAATTAATTAATTGCAAATTAAAATTAGAATTTTAAAAAAAGAGATAAATTTTTCAATAGAATGGATTAAAGTATGAATTCTTTAACAATTGTGTATTTATATGGTAATTCTTACTTCTACTTCTAAAACATTTTGTAAAGGAGCAAAATGAATTTCTAACTATAATTTAATTGTTGAAAAAAAATTCAATTTAATTTCCTTTCAATTATTCCATAGATAAAAATGATATCAATGATAATGTGATATAGGAATAACAATTATGCTAATTATGACAGTATTCCATTAATAAAAATGATATCAATGATAATGTGATTCATGACAGTATTCCATTGATAAAAAATGATGTCAATGATAATATGATATAGGAATAACAATTATGCTAATTATGATAGTAAATTATCACAAAAATATCGTTCTTCCAATTGATAGAAAAAGAAATGTTAATTCAAAAAGAAAGGAAATTAAAAAATTAAAATTATTCGTTGAAAATTTCTTTGTTTTACGATTAGTTTGTTAGAAAAGAAAAATCCATCTTTCCTCCTGAAAATCAAAATATAATAGTGTAAATTTAAAATTCATTAATAGTAGACTTTCTTTTTCTATTTCAATATCATTAATATATTTGCCAGTTGAATTACACTATTTTATTAAATTAACTAATTTAAAGAGAAAAATAAATAAGAAGAACAACTATCTCCCTCTCTCTCTCTCTCTCTCTTTCTCTCTCCCTCTACCTGGTAAAGTAAATTAATTAATACATTTTATTATTGCAAAACAAAATTCATATCTTATAGAATAGATAAGATGAAAAGAAAACTTTTACTAAAGATACTAGGATTATCGAGAAAAGATGATATTTTTAAATTATAAAAATTGAAATGAAAAAAACGAAAAGAAATATAAAAGTAAATTATCGGATGAAAAAGAAAAAAAGATAATTTTCGCTGAAATATTTTTAGCTAATTAAACTAATGCTACAATTTTTATTTCTACTTAATACCTACAAAATGATATATATATATTTTCACTTTTTAACTCAATGAAAGTTAAACTATGTTAGTTTGAAAATATATGTTTAAAGAATGGAATGGAATGGAAAGATTTTTGTTACAGCTATAGATCCTTTCTAATCACACTTAATCAATTATCCAACAACACCAATTATTTGTCGAAATTTCAGCATCTCATCCTTTTGGTTCATTAATAATTTCAAATCTATTTGATATGGAGGGAGAATGATAGATATCTTATCATTTTCCGATCACTTCTCTCTCATTCATTTGAAATATTCTCACAATAAATTAATTATTCAAAAATTAAAACAAAAAAATTTTTCTTCTTTTATCATATTTCTATCTTAAAGAATTATTTGCTGCAAATTGAATAAATATATAAAATTTTAAAATTTTTGAAACGAAAAATATTAAAAGTAAATTATTGATGAAGAAAGATATTCTTAATGGAATTTTCTTAGCTAATTAAACTAATGAATTAATTATTATTGTTTCACTTACAGTATGAATTTTATTATTTTTCTTTTTTTAGCATTAATCTTAAATTTGCATTTAGTGATAGCTTAACGATAATCTCTTTCTTAGACAAATAACGCTCTTTTCAATTATTGATATGTATGTGTGTGTGTGTGTGTGTGTGTGTGTGTGTATGTGAATGGCACATAAATATGTCATCAAATTTCTTCGATAATTCAGTGGATGACTTTAAGGAACATGCAAAAGAAGATTTGGTAGAAGTGAAATGATATGTTAAAATGTATAAAATAATAAATTTAAATTTTAAATTTAAAAATATCAAATTTAATTTAAAAAGTTTAGAATTGAATTTTGTTGCTAAATTTGAAGTCTTAAATAAAAAATTCGTTCTAAAAAACCATATATTTTATATCTACTGAAATATTAAAGATAATAATAATTAAAAAATCTGATATTAAATTAAAATTCAGACGATATCTGCCAATAATTAAACCTTTAAAAATATGTAAATAAATAAATAAAAAAAAAACATAGGCTCGATTTATGAACTTGAAATAGTTTATTGTTATAAAATTCGTAATTGATTACTGGAATATATTTATACTATAAATAATATTATGAAGAAGGATGATAGTATGAATTGATATGCGGATGGGATGAATGTGAGCCATATAATTCAAAATGGTTAATATATTGGAAATTCAATATTTGAATACTTTAGTAATTGATAAGAAATAATTCTTAATTCTTTTCTGTTAATTATTATCAATGAAATTTCAATAAATAATAATTTAAAAATTGTTTGCATTCAAATTTGAATGAAAAGTTTTTCCTTCGATTGAATGAATGATTCATTCATTTTCTCATTAATTGTTAAATTGATATTATGATATTGTTGATGCTTGTTGAAAGATACTTGCCATTTTTTATCAAATCAAATCAAATCAAAAATAAAACAATAACCGAAATTTAAAGATTAATTGAGCCGACAATACATATTGCATGGAGAGAGAGAGAGAGAGAGTGAAAGAACGAAGAGGATAGTAAATCGAAAATAGTCTGGTAGATTGTAAAAAATGGTAAATGTTTATAAAATTTTACGAAAAAGAGCAAAGACGAAAATATTGAAAAATACACATCCTGTTATATTTATATTAATGATGAATAAGAGATTATAGCAAATGAGGAGGTACATAGACTGTCGAATATCATAGAAAATATAATGCTGTTATGAAATGATAACAATGGAAAAGAAATAGAGTAAGTATTTGGTATGGGCTTTGTTGTCTATAAAAATTGAAATTGATGGAGGGCATAAATTTTCAATTGGTTATAATCATGTGTGTCTTCACGTGTGTATGACTTCCGCGAAAGATTTGAGACTTTTGATTTGTGAATTTCCAAATTGTGCAAATGTTTATCTTCTGTTATAATTGTTATGATAATATTAATCGCTATATAATCTTAATGATTACCTTATAGTTACCTTAATTACTATTATTACATCAGCACTATTATCACTTATTATTGTATAGTTCGAATATAATAATTATGCAGAATGTTTAACTTGCCGAATTTTTTATTTTTTGAGTATATAAGTGAAATCAATTTTAAGAAATGGGTACGGAAAATATTGATGATAAATATGAGGGTTTCGAATCGAGACATCGACAACAGCTATTAACAGCTGGTATACCGAAGCATTTCTGGAAACGTTTACATGAAAAGCTTGTCAATCAAATCTTTGATGCGGGTGACTTTTTTCTAATGTTAGAAGAAATTAATGAAGATGGCAAACATTCTTATACAGTTGTGGCATTGAAAGAACTGAGAATGGACGATCCCAACTGGTAAATGATATTTGATCATATCTTGAATCGTAGACAATTTAAGGAATTAACACTGCAAAATTCATTTAAATTGCACTTATACTATCGATTGTACTACCGGGTTGTCCTTAAATGATGGTTGAGATGTTGGAAGCATATTTGATAGTATGTATGAGATGTATGTTTTAGAAGAAATTACATTTTTGTCTTAACCGATAGGAGTAAAAATGCAGGGCAAAGAGAAGAGTTATTGCTAAAGGTTAGTAGAGCGTGTATGAGACGAGTGTATTGAAGCTGTGTTAATTTCATGAAAGATCTCATAATTAATTAATTAGAAAATTTCACAAGGCGAATTTTTCGTATTTACGTTTGATGTGTTTATATTTCAACTTTTGCCTTCTTTCAGCATTTTTCTCGTAGATCATGCATGGACTTTCCGACCACAGGTTGCACGCAAACAATTACATGAAATCCCTGGTCTCTTGGATCGGATTTGTAATGTTTTCAATATTGAAGTATGATTTGTTTTTCATATAAATAAATGGATTCACCGATACTCTGACATCGGATGGTGGATTAAAGTCATTAGCTTTCTTCAAGAGTGACGTAGTATCCAATTGCATACAGGTTGCATCCAAAATTCAATATGAATTTTGTGGTACACCTCGGAGCAATGATATACTATGCATTAGCAGGCCGTAGTTCATATTAATACTACTGCTAATGATAATTACTGTTCTTAATTATTGTCATCACTAATACTATGGAGAGTTGTGATTGTGATATTAGAATATAATGGCCAGAAAATGGTCATACAGAATTTAAGCTTGTCGAATGTTTTTTTTGAATAAGTGAGATGAGTTTCAAGAAATGGTTTGTTTGAGAAGACTTTTTAACGTTTCATCATGTCGTCAGTGCACTGGTATTTTGTTTAATAATCCACCAAAAAGAGGTGCTTGTCGAGTAATCACCATTGAAACCATATTTACATTTCATGTAAAATAATATATGAAATTTGACGTCATTTTCTTCCGAAATTATTCGTTTGAGGAACAAGAAAGAAGCACAACGGAAACTCTTTCGGATTACGGTAGCAGTGGTGACGAACTACAAAATCCAGGTGGATTGAGCTGCGAAGAATGCGAATCTGGAAGTCATTGGGACGAAGGTATATTGAAATCGATGAGTCGTAGTTGCAGTTTTAATAAGCACTTCAATGATAAATGTGATGGTGATGGGAGATCAGATGACATCAGACTTGATGGTGAGCTGGATCCAGTATTTAGAAATACTGGGTCCAGCTCATCATCAAGATAAATCTTTTCATTTTCAGTTTTTGTAGTTTTTACAGTTGTTATGTCATATTTATGAATTTCAATATTAAACAACATGTTGATTCTGCTAAAAAAGATTTATATCAATTTCTAGCAGGAACGATGGCAGGATTGCAAAAGTTTAAACCATTTTGCATTGATCTGCGTATCATATTTTCTTGCATGAAACTACTGCTGTTTTTCCTTACAGGACATCGTGATAGCCTTGTTGAAAGTGTAATAGGGACTCCAATGTCGGAAAGTCTCACTACTGTCTCGGATGAAGAACACCGAATAAATGAAGTTTTGCGTCAGATGTGGCGTTATATCCATACCTATACAATGCGTTTCTTAGAAAAGGTATCCAAAATATTCAAAAATTTCTCGTCTTATCAAATCTCATGTTGCTTTAAATAGTTTAACGCTGATTTTTCAAGCAAATTTGGATTTTTGTCTTTAATGAATTTAGTCAAAATTTGTTGAAATTAAACTTCTTCCGTTTTAACAATTTTCCTTTCAGGAACCGGATGAATGCGATACGCCGTTATGGTATATGCCCGATGAGTTTGGTGTACGAATTGGTCATAGTGATATGCCGAACTGTCGAATGGTACCTATCTTTCACATGCCAGAAAATGTAGTGTACAACTTATTATTTCCTATTCAAAATGTGGGAGTTGAAGGTAATTTATGAATTTTTGGCTGGAGAATTTGTTATTCAACGTTTGGCAAAGTTAATAAACAGAAATGAAGTCTCGACATTTCAGAAGCTGTTACTCGTGATTATGTCGACACAATAATTACGAAAACTCATCCAGAATGGCGTCATATTTTAATGCATCCGTGGACTCCTGTAGATTTGACGGGCGAAAAACTTGAACATATCGTTGCTCCAGATTCGCATTTTATAGTAAAGCGGTTTCATACTATTTTGTTCAAACTTAAAAACAATTAAGTTATAAAAGTTTATTGCATTAAGGATTTCATATTTCGTGAGAAAGACGTATGTAGCGCCAAACTGAATGTGGAAAAATTTATGTAGCGTGAATGTGCTATGCTTTCACAATAGGATTTCAAAGGAATGGTTTGCGTCATTCTCCATATATTTAGCGTTGTCGTGTTGCTGACGTTTTCCCATTAAATGCTTCGAGTATCACTCCCGGTATTGATTTATCATCAGGAAAAGTACGTGTATTTGGTGATGATTTGCAATTTTTTTCACATCTAAAAACGGTTGAAATTGTAAAAGTTGATTGCATCGAGGATGCCGATCTCATATGGATGCAGAAGCATTTTAGTGATTACAAGTAATTTATTTTCATTTTTGCATTAACAGCGTAATGTTTTCGATTTACCACTTGCTATATTATGATATAACTTTCTCAGTAGTGATTAATTCAAGGGGTCTCATGATAGCAGCCGTAAATGTGAGAAAAAAGTTGTGGGGATTGCCATCGGAAATTGTTTAACCGAATCACAATTTTTCTGTGGAAGTGAATAAAAGTTTAGATTTCTTCAAAATCAATTTTTGGAAATGAGAACTCTAATTACAGAGATTTGTATGAGAAAAATCCGAAAGCTTTGGTGAATCAGTTCCCATACGATAGAGTGTTAACAGTGAAAGATTTATTGTCAGCATCAATACAGTCAGTATATCGTGACAGTGTGATAGATCCAGAACTGATGCATTGGCAACCACTGTGGTTTGAAACAACTTTCAATCTTGAAACTGAATTGCCGCAGTTTGTGGCATATTATCAACAGCGAGCACTTAAGTTTGCTTTTCTCTTCCTATTTTTTACATATATTTCATGCAAGTGACAGATCGCGACTGATGTTGATGTATAAAAATTTCGGGCTACCTGAAGGCAGTTCTTTTTTTGTAATTTTCGAATGAATTATCAGTACTAAAAAAAAATTTGATTAGTTCTTTTTATGAATATTACATTAAAAAGGAAGTTAGAACCAGGTATTTTCAATGTTTAGTTCTGAACTTCATTTTGACAGAAATATGACTCGTATTCAAACGATCCTAGTGACGCAGGTTGCGTTTCACCATTTATCATACTAATACCTTCTTTTAATTTATGCAGAAATATGGATAATACCTGGATAGTAAAGCCATGGAATCTTGCACGAGGTCTGGATATGCATGTGACTGATAATTTATCCTATATTATTCGTCTTATCGAAAGTGGGCCTAAGGTGCGTTTAAAGTAATAAATTGAATATATTTGGAGTAATTATCAAGTTCAGATGCTTAACCAACCGATATATAGAATAATTTTGGGATTTTTTAGATTGCGTGCAAATATATTCACCGACCTGTTCTCTTTCGAAGACCTGACAGTGGTAATATGGTGAAATTTGATTTACATTATGTCATATTTTTGCGTTGTTTACAACCACTAAAGCTATTTTTGTACAAAAATTTTTGGATACGATTTGCAATCAAGTAGGTTTATTTGGAATTAAATATTTGCTTGAAAATCATTTTTTTTTTTAGAATTTGACGATCTCAAGGTTTAGGAATAAAGACTGTTGAGTATTCCCATGGTTCACTGCTATTACTCCGAAAGCCCTAATAAGGAACTACTGTAAGTTGGAAACTCAGTGCTAAGAAATATAAGCACTGATTTTATGGCTGCAATTTTGAACATCCTTTAGGAATTCGCGCACAATAGTGCTGTAATCAAGATATGCTTTGCATTAAAGAAATGAGACGTTCTATCTAAACGTTTTAAATGTTGATTTTCAGTGACTTTTCCCTTTCCGAACTGGATGATCGTGATACTCATTTCACAGTTTTCAGTAAATGTGAGAATGACAAAGTTTTCAACGTAAGTTATTTTCATTATTTTTGAGTGTCTTTTTATTCGGAATATCTATTTTTTTCTATTGAAATATGTACTTACATGGCTATGAGTAAATCATTTCCGTTATAACCAATTTTTTTGTTTTTTAATTTTAACATAACAATGTTTGTGGGGTTAATTTGGATTAAATTTTGCATGCCAATTCATGTTTACCGTTTGATTTAAGATGGATTGCAAACATTTTATTGACCAATGGGAGAAATTGTATGATGTGAAATGGAGCGAAATACAAGAGAAAGTCAATAAAGTTATCAAAGATGTGATTAAAACTGTATCTAGGTACGGTTGTTTAAAATATTTCTCGAATTTCAGGTAACCAGGAATAGAGGAAAAGGAGGAAAATGTAGCCGGGGATTATTTTTGCTTTTTTCATCTTCTAGTATTTTATAGGAACTTATTCGTAACAAAAGTTTTTTTCCAGCGAAAAGCCTCCTCGTGGAATTGCACCAAATGCACAATCTCGAGGAATGTACGGAATGGACTTAATGTTGAAATGGGACTCTGATGGTTTGTTTTTTTTTTCAATAACTTTGAGAAAAACTCATGTAGCAAAACATTAAAATATTTTAGTTTTGCTAACTCTAACCTTCTTTCAATTCATTTCTCTAAGCTTTCAAAAATCTGATGTTTATTAATTTTGAGTTCAGTCTATATATTAGCTTTGGTTTCGAAAGTTGTGTTGTGGAAGATCAAGGAAATGATTTTCGGATTACTTCCTGAGTTTTTTTTATGAAACTCATCATTTTTAACGTTTTGGTAATTGTATTACTAATTTGATTGGTTCTATTGATTGATTTAAGTTAACGCTTTATATTTACATGCAATTTTGCTAAAATTATGCAATTTATATTTCCAGATCCTGCCAAGCGCAAAATTTGTATTTCGTTTATCGAAGGGAATTTCATGCTCGATTTCGACTATGCTTGCAAATTTTATTCAGATTTTGCAGACATATCTTTTAAGGCACTATTTACGGATGAAAATATCGCTGATATGTTGATCGAACTGGTTTAATTTCTGTTGTGATATGCTTTTGGGTTACCCAAGTTTCTTAACCCTGTGCTTTGTGTTAAATAATGCGATTTTTCTTTTAAATAGATTATTTTAAATAGAATAAAGAGCTCGATGAACAAGCAGCTTTATTTTTTTCGATCACGAGAGCTAATCAATTCTCATTTCGAAACTTTCAAAATACTTCACGCTTGAGAATGATTTCCGGTTAGTTTGATACTTGATCATTTATTTTTTTTAGCCGATAATGTCTAATTTTGCATTCTAATCACTTGTTAACTTCAATCGTTTCATCAAGTTCCTGCAAAAAAAAATTTTTCAAAATGTACATTGTTTTTGTAAGTCATTTCTTAGAGCTTTATCTCTCTTATTCTCAAGTATTATTTCCATTTATACAACCAAGCAGTTGTGAAAAAATTTTTTATGCGATATAAATATATTAATTTGTTTCCGAGTTGTTCGGGAACCTTCATTGGATTTTATACAGAAAATTCTTGAATGTCAGAAATTTTTGGTACTTATTCGATTTGATTTTTAATGTCAAAGGTAAATGAGATAATTTTTCACTTATATGACTTTATTTACTCTTCTATAACTTCTATGTTGAATGCTGTAAATGCTTAAAAAAAGGAATTAAATGATGCTATGCCACGTATATCACGATACAGCGAAACTCACAGACTGTCAGTTATCGCAACAACTATCGATATCATTGATGGATAAATAGTCCAATAAAATTCCGCTCCACTTGAATACATTATAATAGTAAATTAACATTAATATACCGCCTATATATGCCATCAAAAGATATGCAGTGGTAAAAAAATCATATTTCCTTGTTAACTTTTAATTTTCGCAAAAATATGAAATTTCTTTCATCAAATTAGAATTTCATAATGTGATGTAACTGATCCTCCAATGCTATGATGCATAATCTATGCAAGAGAGTAAGCATTTCCTTATTCTAAAAAGATCAGATTTTATAACATTCAAATAATTCAGAGTTACATTTTTGCAATTATATCAAAAAGGAACTGATAGTAGTGGAAGTTTCAACACACATTCATTTCGATAAACAAAAGTGTATTTCGTTCCATTCACAGTATCAGTCATATTCTTTCGTTATCAGACAATATCAGTTATTTAACTTTTTTTTTCCTCAATTAAAATTTTTTTTAAAATATTTTTTCAAAATATACAATAATAACCTTTTTTCAAATGAATTACTTCCTATTAGTAATTTTACGCAAAAACAATACAATTTATTTAATTAATAATATGAAAGGAAATATAAAATATAATTGAAGAATAATAGATCATTAAAATTTAACAGTTTTTTTTTCAAAAATATCATTCTATATTTTGCAGAGAAACATTTTGAAACCAGGATTGTATGTAATATTGTAATAAATAATTCATTGGAATTTGTTTTGTTTTCCAACCAAGGTTTGCGATCATTCAATGTATAATAATACTTCAATCCATTTTATCATTAATAAATTGTTTTTAAAGGGAATCTATCAATGAAGTTTAAAATTTAAAGAATTGAATTATTAGATATATTATTTGACCTTATCTCAATTTCTTATTATGTATTATGACTTCGGAATAGCGTATCATAGATAAATTTTAAAAAAAGAAATGAACTTTTATAATATATATAAATCATTATATTTTGCATATTTCATCGTTCAACTATTTCTGTGTATATTTTAAAATATAAAACAAAAATTAAGATAATCATTATCCTGAATTGTTTTAAATTTTTTTCGAAATTTTTGTTGTTATATTTTTGGAAAAGTTTTCTAAGATATTCAAAGGTATTTTTACCTTTTCATTTTTTATTTTTCATTTCATAAACGAAATAATTTTGATATATTATTTATTAATTATTATTTTCAATAACTTTTTTTTTAAAAAAAATTTCTTCCATTATTAGTTGTGATCATTCAATAGTAATTAAATTGAATTTATTAAGTTCACACCTGTAATTAAATATCGAAATATTTTTCTTAGGTAAAAATTATTGAAATAAAATTATTTCCAGGCATTATCTGTTGGAAATAATTTCGTAGACAAAATTTAAACATTAAATATTAGCATATATTGTAATGCTAAGTTTTTATTTTGTTTGCTAAAAAATTGGAATAGTTGAAAGTGTGAAATATTTGCCAATTTTATGCCACTTTTCTCTGCCACTTTCATCATTTCACTTTTCTCTGCCACTTTTATCAACTTTTATCTAATTTCAATATTCTATGATGATATCGATAAAAGAAAATAAACGGAAACCTGAAATTAATTCAGGTCATATAGTAAACATTCCATTTTATTCCTTTTCCTCTCTTTCCCTTCTCCTCCTTCTCTATCCTATCATAATAAATATATGTAATTATAAATTTAAGAAATTAAAAAAAAAATGAAAAAAATGTTTTTCAAATCTTTCTCATATATTATTTTAATTAATATTATGCACATTTTTTTAATTAAAAAAAAACTTAATTAAATTAATAAAAAACAATGTAAAAAAAAAGAAAAAGATCTGTAGCATATCATTTTGACCCGTTATTGTAAAATTTTTTCACAGTTTAATTTAATTACTGGAAAAAGGGAAGGTACACATAGAGATAGATAGATAAATAGACGTGTTGTTTCATGTATCGGAGTGATCATTACCCGGTTGATTTGATTGATAAACGTTTAGTGTTTTTAAAACTTTCCGAATGAAGAAGACAAGTAGACTATAAGTGACTTCCAATCATTTATTCCTTCTTTCCTTCTTTTCTTCCTTCTTTCATTCGTTTTATTCACTCATTCATTCATTCATTCATTCATCCCACATTCCCAACATAACCCGATCGGTTGGTGTGGTTTGTAGTCATCGCATTCTTCGATGATCGGTTGCTGATCGGTGCTACTACAATCATTACTCCTTTCAATGGCTTCCTATTTTAGTAGACAATATAATAAATAGAATTTGGAACTGTATCGTAACGGTAAAACTCATATTCCTAACGAAATATGAGCTTTATGCTCAACATTTTTTAATTGTTTTTTTATATTTTTTGTTTTATTGAAAATTTCTCTTCCTTTCCTCAAAAAAAAAGATAGCCTATTATCGAATTGTTACAACCGGTGCTACCAGATTGACAATATTATCATGGCCAATCATGGGCCAAGTTATGGCCTTAGCCGAGAATTGGAAAGGAAAGTAAGTTCCTTTTTTTTTGTAAAATATATTTTAGGTACAAATATGTTGAAAAAAATCATTGCTTAGGATGTAAACAAAGTATTTCCTTGATATTGCTAGCAAATATTTCAGGATCTTTTTTCATGAAATTATTACGGATTTTAAAAATTTCTGTAAAATTTAGCTATTAAATATATCATTCCGTATACAGATCTATTCGTATCTTCTTAAAAGATCTTCGATATTTCATGTCTTCCGGATTATCAAAATTCCCAAATTTATAAAACCTAAAATTAATTCGATTTAAAAATGCTACTTCATTACTTACTGTTATTTTAGCTTTCGTTACTACTGTCATAAAGATTAATCGGTAATATTTCTTCTATATTCAAGAAGACTTCTCAATATTATAAGTTAGTCTTATACACTATTGCAAATCATCACATATCATGTATATATGCAATTTTAGACGATAAATTAGATGAGCATAAAATAACGCAGTATAATTGTAATTAACCTTTGACACTAAGAAACTTTCACAAATAAAAAATAGTTGTTGAAAATATGATGTTGAATACAATTTCATTAGTTTATCACTACAATGATAATTTTAATCAAATTCAGTGAGAAAAATCATTTGAGAGTTTATGTCTTATTTAAGCCCTAGCGAGCTGATTATGATAATGTTAACATTGATAAGCTATTTGATAGTACAGTTTGTAATCATTTATCAGTACTTTCATCTCTCGTTTCTTCCTTCTTTTACAATTATTTTTGAATTGGTGTAAAATTCATCGATGTGAATTAAAATTTTTGACGCTTAATTTCACTTCAATAATATGACGAAATTGTTCCATTGAATTGGGACAACAGAACATCCATAATTTATTTACAGAAACTTTCTTTCAACATAATTTTGATGAAATTTTAAAAAAGCAATTTATATGGTCCATGAAAATCATACAATTAAAAATTTGATCAATACAACTATTGAAATATATAATATTATAATGATTTTTTGCATCCTTTCTCTTTTCATCTTTTCAATTCTTTTCGGATTCGTTGGAGAATTCTTTGTGATAAAATGCGAATATTTTTAATATCTCTTATCATTTGTTTATACAACTTATTATCATTCATTGATAAAGCCTATAAATTGTTTAAAACCGAAATTAAACCGTTTTATGGTTTGTAAAGAAATTTTTCATTGTATCTGTATGAGATTATAAATTAATTTAAATACGGATAATATAAATTTTGAGGTAATAAAACCCGGGAAAATCTGAATATGATAATTTATTAATCAAATTATTCTAAATTTTTCCATCTAAAACCAAATAGATTGTTGTTAATAAAATGAAATAAACACATCGGTTTCGAAATAATTACAATGAATTGACAGGAGGTTAAGAATAGGGTGACCCTTTGTAATGCTGCACCCCCCTTCCTCCTCCCCCCCCCCGGCTCATCTTAAATCTTGCGTCAAGGTTAATTTTACCACTTCTACTTCCCCGCCTTCTCTCAATTATATTGCTCAATTTACTGTCATATCATCAAATAACAATACATATTGTACAAATTTCCCTCATTAAACCTTCAAAAAATTCATAGAAATTTTGATAAATGAAGAAAAAAAAGGGTTAAAAAGAAAGGTCAAAACTATTAGCCTAAACGTTTAAAATAAACGAATAAGCCAAAATATAATTTTAGTTTTACCTTCTAAAAAGTTAAAGCATCGAATAACAACAATAACAACAACAACAACAATAACAACAACAACAACAGTAACAACAACAACAACAACAACAACAAC